GTCGCCATATGTCAAAATGGGCTTGATGGCTCAGGATGATTATGATGCCTCTCATGGCTCTAAACCCCCCCCAAAGGTGGTCCAGAAAAAGGTACAAAACAGCCGTCGCCTCTTTCAACATGTTCTGTGGCTCCCGACATAAAACTTCCAATGATGTCCACCGATGCCAGGATGTGGAGTATTCATTTCAGAATGATGAAACTGGATGTGAGAGATTGTGGCATTGACAAACACACACAGAGGGTGTTGTCCTCAGAATAAATCAAGGAAAGCAAAACAAGCACCTGTAGCTTGAGGTTTATTAATGTTATCCACACAAATGTACACTGAGGGGAAAAATATAAATATCTAGTTGCCAAAGTTCGCATACCTGCGTGTTTCTACCTTCCGTCACGCATTTGATTTTTAGGGTAAAAATTGGAGGTGTTCAAGAATCAAGAGTGCCCGTGGGTTAGAATCTTGGGCTTCCACCTCCTGCTTTTTTAAAAAAAACTTTATAAGCACATTTTATTTCACCCTCAACACGTCACGGAAGACAGCAAGCACTAGAAAAAAATAATGTCTGCATCCCTTTAAAAAAGGGACTGCTGGTTACTCTGCTGGGTGGGGTATGATAAACTGAAGTTTCTGTAGATTGGTCCCTCAAGGTGATCTGAACCCTTGAGACACCGGATCCTGGCTCTGCTTGGAGTCAAAAGCAAAATGGCTGTTCTTCCGGGGTGTGTGTGTGTGTCTTTTTCCCACCAAAGTAGCCCGATATCACCAGCAAAGAAGCGATGGCTCTTTCGTTGTATGGGCAAGTGTTCGCCTGAGGCCTGAAATCCTGTTGCAAGTTGCTCTAGAGTAGGCTCATTGGATCAGTGGGGATTTGGGGAGTCAACTCCCTCCAGAAGTCCCACTGATCCGAGTGGCAACGTATTTTAGCACAGGAAGCCACCCCACGAGTAGGCCCATTGGAATCGATGGAAGTGAGAAGAGGACTCACCCAATTAACCGTTCTACTCTAGTGTGACTCACTGCGCTAAAGCAACAGGATTTCAGCCCTATAGGATTGTCCAAGGGTCATGGAGCCAGGAGGCAGGAAAACCACAAGTGAAGCGGTCCAACCTCCATCCAAAGATCTCCAGTCAAGGAGAATCCACCTCCTCTCGAGGCTGCTTCTTCCACGGCCAACCAGCTCTTAGTGTCAGGAAGATCTTCCTAACATTTAGTCACCGTCACCTCTCTTGTGATTTGGATCCATTACTTCGAGTCCTACCCTCCAGAATGGGAGAAAACAAGCTTGTTCCCTCTTCTGCATCACAACCCTTCAAATATTTGAAGATGGCTGTCTTGTCCCTTCTGTTTTCTCTAGTGTAGACCAGGCCATTTCCCTCAACTGCTCCTCACAGGGCTTGGGTTTCTAGTCCTCCACACCGTCTTGTGAAGACTGCCTTCTTGCCTGGTTTTAGGTATTTATTTTATCTAGGCACATATCCTATCAAGAGGTGGAGGAGGTAAATAATAAGAAAAATGAAATTAAAAAAACCTCCCCCAAAAATAAAGGAGCCAAAATTGGTACAAGCAAAGAAGCAAGCAAATGAACAGATATATAAAACAATGGAGCGTTTTCCCCAGAGTGTTCGTTTTACTTCAGATAACAGAAGAGAAAAGCCACTTTCAAGTGACCCCCTGCTCACAGGAAGAAGGCAAATCCCAGTGCGATCCTAACCCTTTCCACTCAGCCGTCAATCCCATTGAATTCAATGGGGCTTACCTCCAGGTAAGCAAGGACAGAATGGCAGCCTCCTTATACAACTTGCCAGAGTGGTTTCAGATTTAACACAAGGGAAACCTGCTTATTATTTGACTTTTGGGGAGGAAGGCAGCAGTCCAGGAAATGAGAGTACATAGAAGGGCGAAAAGGTAACGCCTGCAATCTTCTGAACACATCCTGAACGGGGTGGGGTGGGGGCGAAAAATACCCAAACCCACATCTCTCTCTTTTCCCCATTTCTTGTCCAGTGATCTGTTTACACTGGAAGCACGCTGAGAAGCAAATAAGCTGCCAAGCCGACCAGCAGGGCCGTCCAGAGGTAAACGGGCAGCGGCAAAATTATCCTGACCGTTGTTTTCTTGGCAAACCCTGGGATGTCCTGCAAAGCCAAAAGAGTGAGAAAGTCTGATTTCATCTCAGGCAAAAGGCAAAGGAAGGCTGGGGGGGGGGGAGAGGGCCAAGAGGAGGGGGGTTGGAGGGGGTTTGGATGGGGACCAAGGGGGTGGCTGGGGAGCAGAGCCAGGACCAGCCTGGAACATGACTTAAATCAATCACGTTGCCACCCCCGATCCACAAACGTTTTAAACAACGACCAAAACCTTCTTGCATTTTTATGCTGGAGGAACAGCTCTGGGGATACCTCGCCACAACTCCAGGAGTCAGGAGGGGCCTGGGCTGTTGCAGGCGTAACTAACAGAAGTGAAGGGGTTCAGATCCTCAGGAGAAGCCTTTCTCTCCATCCCTAGGTACGTTTGATGGGGGATACGTTCCCTCTTCTGCATCACAACCCTTCAAATATTTGAAGATGGCTGTCTTGTCCCTTCTCGGTTTTCTCTAGCGTAGACCAGGCCAGTTCCCTCAACTGCTCCTCCCAGGGCTTGGGATTCCAGTCCTCCACACCGTCTTGTGAAGACTGCCTTCTTGCCTGGTTTTAGGTATTTATTTTATCTAGGCACATATCCTATCAAGAGGTGGAGGAGGTAAATAATAAGAAAAATGAAATTAAAAAAACCTCCCCCAAAAATAAAGGAGCCAAAATTGGTACAAGCAAAGAAGCAAGCAAATGAACAGATATATAAAACAATGGAGCATTTTCCCCAGAGTGTTCGTTTTACTTCAGATAACAGAAGAGAAAAGCCACTTTCAAGTGACCCCCTGCTCACAGGAAGAAGGCAAATCCCAGTGCGATCCTAACCCTTTCCACTCAGCCGTCAATCCCATTGAATTCAATGGGGCTTACCTCCAGGTAAGCAAGGACAGAATGGCAGCCTCCTTATACAACTTGCCAGAGTGGTTTCAGATTTAACACAAGGGAAACCTGCTTTTATTTGACTTTTGGGGAGGAAGGCAGCAGTCCAGGAAATGAGAGTACATAGAAGGGCGAAAAGGTAACGCCTGCAATCTTCTGAACACATCCTGAACGGGGTGGGGTGGGGGCGAAAAATACCCAAACCCACATCTCTCTCTTTTCCCCATTTCTTGTCCAGTGATCTGTTTACACTGGAAGCACGCTGAGAAGCAAATAAGCTGCCAAGCCGACCAGCAGGGCCGTCCAGAGGTAAACGGGCAGCGGCAAAATTATCCTGACCGTTGTTTTCTTGGCAAACCCTGGGATGTCCTGCAAAGCCAAAAGAGTGGGGTTCAGATCCTCAGGAGAAGCCTTTCTCTCCATCCCCAGGTATGTTTGATGGGGGATACGGGAGAGAAGCCTTCTCTGTGGCTGCTCCCAGACTCTGGAACTTCCTGCCACTAGAGGCCAGGCTGGCTCCGTCTTGGCTGTCCTTATTCAAGCAGGCAAAGTCCTCTCTCTTGAGGCAAGCTTTCCCTCAGGGACTGAGGGGGATTTTTTAATAGAGATGTTTGTGCCTTGACTGCTTTGAATGTGTTTTTGGAGTTGCTTTCATGAACCATTTTTAAGTGTGGCATTTGTTTGAACCTTTTTAGGAGTTGCTTTCATGAACCATTTTTAAGTGTGCCATTTGTTTGAACCTTTTTAGGATCTATATACTCATTGTTTTTAGCTTTAAATACTGACTTCTAACAATATGAGCTGCCTTGGGACCTTTTTTAAGGAGAAAGGCAGGGTAAAAATATTTTAGATACAATTAAAATTTGGCAACATTTTTTAAACTCATTACTATACAGTATTCCTTAAAGTCTTTGCTCTTCTAATCTTTCAGTCCCAACGGTTTGTTCCCAGACACCTCACACTAGTTTATGGAGGGAAAAGGATGATTCATTCAAGTGATACACGTTCAACAAGGCATGTTTTCATGCAAGAATAAATGGCTGAAAGCCTGTTGCACAGTTACGCAAATATATGATGTACATTCTCCCCGGCTGTTTCCCCCACAATGGGGACAAAAACAAACCACACATTATGTAATTCCTGTATTTTTTTTTTCATCTCAGCGGGGGCAAACACCCGCTTAAGAGTGACTAACATCAAGGAAGGAGGTCCAACGATACTGAGTCCCCCATCTCAAGTCCGTCCCTCCCCCACCTCACCAAACACACCTTCTGGTCTTGCGGAACGACTGAAATCCTCCACGGCAGTTCCGCCAACAGCCAACTGCTGCAAGTTAAAGAATCTCCCTAGACGTTATCTGTCTCATCCCGCGTTGCAGAAATCAGCATGCAACAAATGAGGAGGATCGAGATTCTTCACTTAATGGCAATCCACCTCTAAAAGGGGTGCAATTTTGTAACTCCACTGCAGCAAAATCACCTAAAAGGCCAGGAAGTCTAAGAAACAGGGCTCACCTAAGGAGCACTTTGGCCCCAAAGATGGACAGCGTTATTAACTGGCCTTCTTAGCAGTTGTTGTTGTTGCCATCGTCATCATCATCTTCATGATACCAGCGTTTAGAGCTAAGGACCATTTCAGTTTCCCACAATGTGCCTGTTGCAGACTCTCTCCAAGAGGGAAATGGTGGAACATCAGAAGACAAAATCTAATGAGAGATGGCAAGCCAACCAGGAGGAACCTGGTTGAGTTTTTTTCCCACAAGGTCCACCTCAAACCTTGACCTACTCAACCTACCCCGAGTGCCGTTTCTGGCACCATGGAAGGAGATGCTTTTGTTCATCAACACGGCAAGATGGTGATGGCCACCAACTTATGCTTGGGTCAAAGAGACCTTCAAATATGACAGACTGTTTGGACCACACCTTTGAATCTCCAGGACCGAGCTCTGCTTTGGCATCGCAGGACGGTCCGTGGTCACCCACGTTTCTCCTTTACCTTGAAGGACTCCAAGAATCCACCGTGGCCCCCGTTCTCCATCTTGTCTTCCTCCGATCCCAGCCCCAGCATCATTTGGGTGTGAATGTGAAGCTCATCGTGGAGGTTGTCCAACAAGGCAGCTCGTGTCCGGTCCTAAAATCATCACCAGGAGGCAACATCAATCACTCTTCCTGTCACGCAGAAAGAAACCAAACCTCGTCCTCTTTTCAAATTCATGTATTTATGAGTCCACCCATGAAGAGGACAAAAATAGTCAAATCAAGCAACCATTGAGCCAAAAATGTCTACCCATCAACCACAATTATTTGTTCAAGCACTGGAACTTTGACTTCTTTTAGAACTGGATAAATTCGTATCAGTTCAGACAGTGTGATCACGCAAGCCCATACAGTGGGTAGCCAGAAGCTGGCATTCCTCCTTCCTCATTCATGGTGGGGAGGGAGGAAACAAAGGGCTACTCGTGAGGTGTCTGTTCCCCTCAATCAAGCACCCCTTTGTCTCCAAATCATTTCCCCCTAAAGATTTCATGCCTTTGCCAGTGAGCAAGGACAGCTAGAGACCCAAAAGGGGGGAAAGGGAGTGAGAACTAAATCAGCAGAGTGGAAGAAGTGGAAGAAGTGAGCAGACACCCCTTGTTTGCAGTTTGTTAAGGTGGCTCTGAAGATCCAGACAGCTGCAGTAGAGGTTCCTTAACAAGGTGCAAACAAGTTCAGATTGGAAATTTCCTCTGCTCTCTCTGCCTACTCCTGTATGATCTCAAGCAGAGGTGTCAAACTCAATTTCATCTTGGGCTGCATCGGCATTACAGTTGCCCTCACAGGGCCGGTTGGATTTCCAAGACCGAGCCAAAAATGTCTACCCGTCAACCACAATTATTTGTTCAAGCACTGGAACTTCGACTTCTTTTAGAACTGGATAAATTCGTATCAGTTCAGACGGTGTGATCACGCAAGCCCATGCAGTGGGTAGCCAGAAGCTGGCATCCTTCCTCATTCATGGTGGGGAGGGAGGAAACAAAGGGCTACTCGTGAGGTGTCTGTTCCCCTCAATCAAGCACCCCTTTGTCTCCAAATCATTTCCCCCTAAAGATTTCATGCCTTTGCCAGTGAGCAAGGACAGCTAGAGACCCAAAAGGGGGGAAAGGGAGTGAGAACTAAATCAGCAGAGTGGAAGAAGTGGAAGAAGTGAGCAGACACCCCTTGTTTGCAGCTTGTTAAGGTGGCTCTGCAGATCCGGACAGCTGCGGCAGAGGATCCTTAACAAGGTGCAAACAAGTTCAGACTGGCAACTTCCTCTGCTCTCTCTGCCTACTCCTGGATGATCTCTACTCAAGCAGAGGTGTCAAACTCAATTTCATATTGGGCTGCATCGGCATTACGGTTGCCCTCAAAGAGCCGGTTGGATCTGCAAGACTATATAAATGCATCTCCGCCCGTCTTGCGGGGCACCACTGTAAATGTATCTCTTCTTTATCATTTTAAATAGTGAGGACTACATTTCCCAAGGTGCTTTACGCTGCCCAAGCGGCTGCACTTTCTGAGTCTTCACTGCTTGGAATGCAGGGATTAGAAGTCCCACTGGGCAGATTCCCAGCATCCTTGAGGAGCATTATGGGTGAACGAGTCAGCGCTTGCATATTGTATATGGCACAGTAGCAGACAACACGCTTCACTCCTTTGAATGCAGGGATTAGAGGTCCCGCTGGGCGGATTCCCAGCATCCTTGCGGGGCATTATGGGTGACCGAGCCAGCGCTTGCATATTGTATACGGCACAGTAGCAGACAACACTGTGAGGGCCACATGAAACAGCCCAGTGGGCTGGATTCGGCCTGCAGGCCTTGAGTTTGACACATGTGCAAGAAAGTCAATCCACCTGGGGATACCCAATCTCCCAGGGACAACTTCACAGCAGATCCACGTGCCTTTTCCCAGTGACACCCGGAGTCTCCTAGCTGGCTTGTTCCAGGTCTTCCCATCTTACCTCAAGCTTCGCAAACTTGTCTGACTTGCAACAGGCGTGTTCTGCGTTGATCAGTTTAGTGAGAAGAAACTCTCGGAATTCAGAATTCTGCATAAGGCAGGACAAGGAGGAGTGAGCAGTGAAGCTGGACAACCTTACGTAGAAGTCTTTGTACTGTGCCTTAAGATGAGCACTGACATAGTTTCTAAAGGGGCAGCCACACCGATCAGAAGGTGCAGGAAATAATCTGGGATTGAGGAAGGCTCTGACCACATAATGCAAAAGGAAATGTGAATAAGCCTGGCGTTCCACCCCTCAAATCATAGTTTTTGCCTCCACTGAGGGGGTTACCACAGTAGGTCACCCATATCCACTGGACATTGGTTCCAAGTCCATGGTGACCACATAATGCAAAAGGAAATGTGAATCAGCCTGGCATTCCCCCTCTCTCAAATCATAGTTTTTGCCTCCATTGTGGGAGCTACTACGGTAGGACACCCATATCCACTGGACATTGGTTCCAAGTCCATGGTGAATACTGAAAACCATGGATAATAGTGAATGCTATACATAGCACCGTAAAAGGGGGAAAAAACAAGAAAAAATATTTTCACATGCATTACCAGAACTGGCCACTAGAGGGTGGAAGAGACCATGCTATGCATTCTTCACTAACAAGTATTCATAGCACAGTCTCTGGCTCCATCCAGTGGTCTGTTCTTATAATACATGTGAAAATAGTTTTTTTCTGGATTTTTTCCTTCTAATATTTTCAGTATTTTCAGACCATGGATGAGTGAAACCTATGGGTACGGGGTTCTACTGTACTTCCTCCCCAAAATGATCCATTCGCATTGGTTCAGGCGTGTGATCCCTTGAACCGATGCAGAAAAGCCCTCCCGCTAGCACACATTTACAGCTCCTCCTCGCTTCATGTGTGTCGTCTTATGTGCGGCCAGTCAAGGGGAAGAGGCACAGGGCAACCCAAAATCCATGGTGAAATTTCGTAGTGAGTGAACGCATTGCGAATTCACATTTCCTTCGCTGTGTAGTCACACCCTCAATAGCCTAGACATGTCAAAACGACCTATTCTAAGCAAAACCCGAATCTACAGCTACTGATGCCAGCTATTGAGTCCTAACTGGAAAATGTTCTCCCACTGTACTGTGGTTGCAAAGGGAGAAGCAGCAGCAGGGGGGACGTTCCAATTCAAGCCTTCATCCTAGGCGAGATACATTCAGGTAGCCGCAAGATATCTGTCAGGTAGGTAGAATGCTCCAGATGGAGCATTATGGTATTTGTAGTCCAGGAAATCTGAAAACCCCACTCCTTAGCAACACTTTGATCTTGAAATGAAACATGACTCCCTCATAATCTTAAGCTCCTACATCACCATCCAAAAACTGTTTCCTTCTTCTCCCTCCTCTCTTGCTAGAATATCATCCCATTTTATTTCAGAGGCAGCAGCTCTAACCCTCAACCTTGTGCTGCATTCAAGCCAGCCTCCAAGGTTCTCCATAAATTCCTCTGCTCGCTGTACCTCTTTTCCCATTCAGTTCACCTTGAAGAGTCAGCTGTTAACAATCTGTACTTTACGTTTTTTCCAAAGCTTTCTGAACTGTATGTGTCTTTTGTCTTTTTGGTCTTCATGGCCCTCCATCATAAATTACACCAGTAGCGATTTGTTGGTCACCCTCTCGAGCCATGAAATGTTCAGTAAGTCCGCATTTCAAACTCTCCCATCTTTCTATAAACTCTTGCATTTGAGGCTACAATTTCATGCTACATGAAACTGTAGAATAAGCCACAAAGAGCCCCCTCTCCTTTCGATGCACGAGAAATGTTCTCATGGCGCTGTGGGAGTGATTTTGCCCTTCTTCCATTGCACCACTTACTTTCTGAAACACGGGTGGGCTGGGCAGTGAGGGCCCAAAAGAAGGGACGTCTTCTCGCGCAGTGACAGAGACCTTTTCCAAGTAAAAAGAAGAGGGGAAAAGAAAGAGAAAATAATAATTCACAAAGGCAGATAACCGACAGAACACCTAGAAAGGTAACAACATGCTGGATGACACAAAGGGTTAAACCCCTGGCTACTGTTGCCTTCTGGAATGGACGTGCGAGGGACAGAACTTAGAACAGTTCGTTTTTTTGGACTACGACTCCTCGAATCATAGGAAAATGGAGCTGGAAGGGACCTCTAAGGCCACAGAGTCCAATCCTGTGCTCAGTGCATGAACCCAAATCAAAGCAGATCAATCAGGTCATTGTCTAAGTTTCTCTTGGATGCCTCCAGCATTGGACTGCTCCCCACTTCTAGAGATACCTGGTTCCGTTGTCGTACTGCTCTAACAGTTAGGAAATTTTTCCTAATATTCAGCTGAAATCTGGCTCCCTGTACATTGAGCACATTGTTGCATGTCCTGCACATTCTGGGATGACGGAGAACAGATCCTGCCCCTCCTCTGTAGGACAGTCCCTTCAAGTCTTTGAAGAGGGCTCTCCTCTCTCCCCTCAGCCTTCTTTTCTCAAGGCTAAACCTGCCCAGTACTTTTTCTTGTAGACACTGGCATGCAGAAACTCTCTCTCACACACCACACCCCCATTCTCTTACTTTGTAGGACGGATTCTCTGTCTCAGCATTTTCAGCCTGGACAACTATGTAGGCATGCAGGAAATTTGAAGCAATCATGTCTGGAACAAATGGAGTGTTTTCTTCTTGAAATATAATTGCCACAATGTCATTTCCAATGTGTCTCTTTCTCTGAAGCTGAAAAAGAGAGAGAGGGAGGGAGAGAAGGGAGATAAAGAATTCCCCACAAATGGATGTCAGTCACCCTTCTTATTAATATAAATCTTCAAATGTTCACGGTTCTTATAGAATATTCATCTTGGGGAAAAACCAGGTGTTAAGAGAAGGTACAAATTTATTCTAGTTAACCCATTTCCCCTTCTCAATATGGGATCCAAGTTTCAGCTGTATGTTCACGGTTCTTATAGAATATTCATCTCGGGGAAAACCAGGTGTTAAGAGAAGTTACACATTTATTCTAATTAACCCATTTCTCCTTCCCAATATGGGATCCAAGCTTCAGCCGCCAGACATGTGAATGAAGCATGTGTTAATCTTCCAAAGACTAATCCCAAAGCACGCTAAATGCAAGATAAGTGGGTGATGAAACGCGCTCACAGTGGCAAACAGACCCCTCGACCCACTTAAGGTGATGCCTCGTCCATCTAAAAGTGTGACCCTCTCTTTCTTAGACCTCCCCCATAAAGGAGCATTAAAAAAATACACGCCCATCACCACTAGGCTTTCAAGTCTCGAGGAATAACCATCATGGCACAAGGAAGGTCAGTCTGAAGAATGGCTAGCCCTTCCGTGACTGGGCCAAGCCACTCCCACAAATAGTGGTGGTGTCAAGGATGGTGGGATTTCCCCCCCAACATTTTGAAGGGTGAGCTTACATTGTATGGTTCCCAGGAGTGTTCTTGACTGTAAAAGAGTCCGTTGGCTCCTACTCGCCAGCTGCATGTCCCTAAGGTTGATACCAAGGATCAGGACCAACTGATTTATTTTTGTACAAGAAATCATGAATCCCACGTGTTGTTGTTCCTCTGAGGTTTATTTACCTTCTTTTCAAGACCTGCTAAGGACCAGATGATTTTTATTAAGTCTTGATATGTAAAAACATAACATTCAAAGGGAGTGTCCTTTCTTTTTCACATGACCTTGTTGTGGTGGCTTTCCTAGTTGGGAATAAGTTGGTCCTGATCCTTGGTGTCAACCCTAGGGATAGAGCAGGGCTGGGCAATTAATTTCTATAGGGGGGCACATTAAAAATCTGAACTTTGCTCGGGGGCCGAACCAACTTTACTTAAAAATGAAATGAAACAGTGATGTTATTATTGTTTTTATTGTTAATCATCACAAATACTAAAGAGGTTTTTTGCGGTATGTTAAAAATAAGCAACTGATCAACTTTAGACAAAAACCTATAAATGGTTTTGATGTTCAAAACAGTCCGCGGGCCAGACAGGACCGGCTCGCGGGCCGTATGTGGCCCTTGGGCCGCACTTTGCTCAGGTCTGGGATAGAGGAGACCCACTAAGTCTTTGGAAATTACCTACAGCCATGTGAAAAAGAAATCACACCCTCTTTGAATTCTACTGTTTTACCCTATCAGGACATAATAAAAATCATCTGTTTCTTAGCAGGTCTGAAAATTAGGTAAATGCAACCTCAGAAGAACGACAACACATGACATATTGCACCCTGTCATGATTTCTTTTACAAAAACAAAGCCAACATGGAGAAGCCGTGTGTGAAAAACGAAATATACTTCTACTGCTTCCATACGACTTGAGGCTAAGTAACAGTTAGGTTACTTAGTCATTGATCGTCTGCTTTACTCTGTTTGGGACGAATTCTTGGCTTCAGCCTCCATCACAATATTGGGGGGGGGGCTTCTCTTGGGCTGTTCTCCCTGAGAAAGGCCTCCAAATTCGAAATTTTTCTACTGGTGGTCATAACAGCGGATAACTGAGCGTGACCATCCCTGCTTTCATTTAAAGATTCATCCAGACTGATCATTTCCCTACAGAACAGATAACCTGTGCATTCCAGAGAGGGCTGGTGGGACGGGACTAATTTCACACCCTCTATATGGACGCCAGTCTCCGGAAACTCCTTGTTAACATGGCCACCATCCATACCAGCTGGATGTTTCTGAGAGGGTTCATCCCCGAAAAACGTAACTTTTCTAAGCTTCCTCTTTTTGGACAGGTTGCCATAAGGAGCTCTGGACTTTGATTCAACCCATAAACTGTCCTGTGAAGTTCTTCAACAGGGACGTTGGCAAGTCTTTGGGGTCCCAGGACCTGAGTTTGAGCCTTTGGTACCAAGCCCTGAGTTTGAGCCTTTGGTGCCAAGCCCTGAGTTTGAGCCTTTGGTACCACATCCCCTGAGTCCCAAGCCCCAAGTCCAACCGAGTCCCTCTTAAAAACAAGCTTTCCTCCCCAGAAATGTGGCTGGTGATGGATGGGTTCCAAGATGCAAGTTGAACATCACTTATTTAAAAAAAAAAGCAAAGAACCCACGTCATTCAAAAATGTCATTCAAAATTGAGTCTGAGACACAAAATCCTGAGTCGTGTTGCTGAGTCGAGTCTGAGACACAAAATCCTGAGTCGTGCTGCTGGTGTGACTTAAATCCAACTTGACAGCGAGTCCCCTGACTCGGGTCCCCATCCGTGTTGTGTCAACTCAGGTGGGAGCATCCAGCTAGAATGTAGTTTACACCTTTTCCTCCTCACTGGCTCACAACCCCTTCGCCCGGTGTGCCAAAAAGCCCCCTTCTCTTCTCGAGTCTGAGACACAAAATCCTGAGTCGTGCTGCTGGTGTGACTTAAATCCAACTTGACAGCGAGTCCCCTGACTCGGGTCCCCATCCGTGTTGTGTCAACTCAGGTGGGAGCATCCAGCTAGAATGTAGTTTACACCTTTTCCTCCTCACTGGCTCACAACCCCTTCGCCCGGTGTGCCAAAAAGCCCCCTTCTCTTCTCCCCACAGCTTTCCCCTCGCCTGATATTCTTCTATCCAGCAAACAAGCTCAACGGTCCGTTACCTGTTGTGTGTCTCCCTCTGTGAAGGGAAGCTTGGTGGAGACGTGAAACATAATCTCCCTGTCCCTGAACACTGTGTACACAGACTCTGCGCCCGTCTGGCCGTGAGTGACATCCAGACCTCCTCGGAAGCTAGAACAAAAATAAGAACAAAGTGGTCCCCCCAGGTGCCAGGTTGCAGCAACACCGTCTTTGCCCCAAAGGGGGGGGGAAATAAAATGTTACTCCATTTCTGCCTCAATCGCTTAAGGCCAAAGGAGAGGAGAAACTGAAGGAGAAAGGCAAAACTACGGCCTGTGTTCTCTTCATCCACAACGTTTGTGTCACAACAGTGAGTCTGAGAAGGATTTGCTAACGGTCTCAACCAGCCCTCTTGCATTGGGGACACAACGTTTGTGTCACAACAGTGAGTCTGCGAAGGATCTGCCAGCGGTCTCAACCAGCCCTCTTGCATCGGGGAGGAGGAGATTTTAACCGATGGTGCAAACGTCCAAAACTCCCGGGGCAGCTGCCCTATATTTTATTTATTTATTTTATTTTTATGCATTAGATTTTTACCCCGCCCCTCTAGACCATGTCTACTCGGGGCGGCTATGAGGGCATAAAATTTTAAAATTGTATTTCTTTTGATACCCCACTTTTCCGCTAGAAGCGAGCACTCGAGCTGGGTTACAAAGTTTTTAAAAGACATAAGAACAGATAAAGCTGGCATTGAGTGAAAACCTCTCAGGCAAAAATCATGCACAGAACACTCAGCTTTCTGCTTCCGGTCCCATCGTTTATTTTTTTCCTGACAGAAACAGGTGAGCCACTCTGGGACCCTTTCTAGCGGAGGAATAAAGGACGAATGTTCCAAAGAAACAAACATTTCACGTCTCTCCTTCTATCAAATGGACTCTCCTTCTACCACGCAAGGACTGGGTTTGCTGACTTACCCCCTAAAATCCTGTAGTGTGATGGTGTCACCCAACAAATTCAAGAAACTTTTGAACACAGGACTCTCCTCATTGTTCCCAAACAGCTCTTCTTCCTGTGTCTGCCAAGTCGTCATCATCATCATCATCATCATTATCATCATCATCATCATCATGATGAAGAAGAAGAAGAAGAAGAAGAAGAAAAATATAAATTTTAAAAATGTTGATGTCAAGGATGCTGTGAATATTCATACATTTTCTCATCCTTTCCTCTTAAGGCTTTATTTTTAGTCATTCCTATAAAAGTATATATCGCATAAAATAAAATAAAAATAAGAACAACCGATCTAGCCGTGGCTTACCACACGAAGTGACAGGGTTTCAGCCAAACTCTTGTTTCTGTGGAGACTTGGTGTCTTCCCCACCCCCCGCCCCGCCTTGGGGAAGCTAAGCCCCCGAGCAAAAGGACACGGGGAATGATCCCAAAGGCACCAAGACTCTCAATGGGACTCTCTGGCACACACCCACAAGAGATCCCGACCAGGCTTTCTCTTGCGTGCATTCAATAGGAAAGTGCGACAAGCAGTCGGAGGAGCACGCCACAACGTTTGGAGAGAGACAAGAGAACCCCACCTCTGCATCGCATAGCAAGAAGATAGGGGCTGTTGTTTTTGGAAGGGGATGTTTGGGGGCGTTATAGGGGTAAAGGGTTTCTGTTTTTTTAATGGGATTTTCAGTCACATTTGCTGAGCAAGGGCAAACGGCGTTACGATTTGTGTCTTTAATTTCAGCCTGCGAATTCTGGGGGGGGGGGAATTCAAGGTCTCCACCAGCCGGCCTGGGGGCCACTCCCCTGAACGCCAATTGGAAGAGACACCTCTGTGCTTGGTTTGTGTGGAGCTAGTCCTTCGAGGGGCAAACGCATGGGGGAGCCTTGCCCAATTCTCTCCGCCGTTCTTCCTCACAGGGCTTGGTTTTCAGTCCCCTGACCACCCTCTCCTCCAACCCCCTTGAAGGCACTTTCAATCAAAGAGGTTCCAGGTGAGAAACCTTCCACCCAGACCTGCGTGCATGGCCCACAAGAATGGCCCACAAGAGCCCTTCCCACAAGGCCCCTGAAGCTAAAGCCACGGTCCATGGAGGGACCCAAGACATTGGGGCTAGACGTCTTCTTTCCTCTCCCGTCTCTCTCCAGGGACAACGGTTTGGTCTTTGAGGCGAGTCTCCTCAAGCCAATCTGGTATACTTTTAAAAACATTTTTCGTCTGGGGGCAAAAAGCCTTAAAAAATAAAATAAAACCCTCCCCGGGAGCCCGCCCTTGACTTACCTGCTTAAACTTCTGGTAAATCACACCAAACTTGAATGTATTGTTGACTTCGTGCTCATCATAGGAGACGATCATTTGAGATGCCTGGAACAAGGGACATCAATGTCCGGGCGGGAGTTAGAATACATCCTGCCCCCAAAGGGAGCTGTCTGGCCCCATGGCGGACTGAGTAGGCCTAGGTTCATATCCCTGCTCAGCCATGAAAACTCACTGAGGAGTTGGCCTTGATAAAAACCCACTTTTTCAAAAACTCACTTGCCATGAAAACTCTACTAGAGTCACTACAGTTTGGTTCTGACTTGAAGGCACACACACCGCCCTTCCTTCCTGCCTGTCTTAATTAGAGGAATATCAATTTTAGGATGTTGGGAGGGAGCCGGAAAAGCCACAGTGGGAAAATGACCATTTTCACTCCCTAAGTTTTACTTGAGATTGTCCACTTGGGCCAAAGGTACCCACAGGCACCGGGTTTTCAGAAAATGGCCGCAGTGAGAGGCAGAAGGGCAGAATCACTGTGTCACCGTAAGTAAAGGCCATATTACACACACACACACACTTTCAAGCACAGAGAAACAGGAAATTAAGGTGCCCATGTCCTTTCACTGCTGATTCAGACTGGCTGAATAAGGACTCCATTGCTAATATCATCCTTTGTTTATAAGTAGATCTCTGAGCCGGAAGCAACGAGAGAGCTGTGACGCCCGAGTTGTCCTAAAGCCAAAACCTGCACATCATTCACAAGAACACGGGGAAAACCCACGCTGGGTTAGCAGAAAGGATTGGTCTATTTTTAGGAGGTCATCTCCTGTTCCATAGGGACCAACCGAGCATCCAGGCAAGAGATGGTCAACCGCAGCCTCCCACTTCCTCTGTTCTATGGACCCAGAAGGATCTCTCTTCTAAGAGATACCCTTCACGAACAGGAAGGCTCTATCCCATACTGTTGGGGTTCATGAAATCAGAAACCTGCAGAAACCAAACATGTCCAGGCAGCTTTTTTTCCTCCACGGTCCACCCAGGAAACCTACGAGACGTCTTCTGCTATGATTATTAGGGTGGGATCAGAACTTGATCAAAGATCACATCTGAGCGCACCAGAAAAGGGTGGCTTTCTAAGAGGGATCTCCCTTAAAGTGATCCTTGTATCCCTATAGGAATCGTTCCAGCCCAACCCCACAAGGCAGAAGGCAGGACCACCCTGGTGGCCCCCCGCTGGACATCTCCCAGCTTGCTGAGGTCCTTCTTAAACTGGCCCGAGACCTGGAGACCCCATTCGAAGGGAGGCCTTTACATGAATCATAGACAAGAGGGCCCTTGCGCGGGATGTTCTTTGGCTCACCTTGGGATACAGCACGGGATTGAACTTGAGTCCGGTGGCATCGTCGCAGAAAGCCTGTCGGGACAAGAGAACAGAAACTGCATTTGAGAACACAGGATTGGGTGCACAGACCAAAGCACTTTTTGCAACAACAACAAAAAAATTCAAGGCAGTTTCAAAATAGCACCATGGGCTGAGAGGAACCCAGATTCAGAGGGATTTCATACTGGCCCACTTCCCGAGGAAAAGGGAAAGCCATTTTTACTGGCCAGTTTTTTGGGTCAGTTTTTATTGGCTGGTTGTGAGGAGATGGGCCAAACTTGCAGCCTGTGTCTCCGGGCTTTCCTCCCCCACCAAACACCCGAAATATACTGGAAAATGTGCTGAAATGGTCATCAGAGGGGACACATTTTCCAGCATCCAAGGTGGGCGGTTTGGTGCTTCAATGGAGATGCTTGGGGGGACAAGAAGGAGGGGAAGCCCTCAGTGCTTCTCTCATGGTTAGGAATGCGATGCTTTGGGCTCTCTGAGCTGCAAACACTGTGGGGTTCTTCATTCTGGAAGTTCTGCCTAACTTGCAGACAGCTTCCAGATACATAACTCGATGTGGCTCGCCTGGGAAAAAAGGCCTAAACTAGCCTTAGCTAGGCCAAGCTCCCCCCAAGCTGCCTGCTCAGAAAGAAGGTGCCAAGGAGCACTGGGGCAGGAGCCCCCAGTGATCCTCCTCCGATTGCTATGAATTAACCTGACTTTCAGGATTGATGGAAGGATTACAGTGGTGCCCCGCATAGTGACGTTAATCCGTTTCGGATTAATTGTCGCTATGCAAAAACGGATTTAAAAACCCCATAGGAATGCATTAAACTTAGTTTACTGCGTTCCTATGGGGCCCAAACTCACCGTTCAGCGAAGTTCCTCCATAGCGCCGCCTTTTTCGCGCCCTTGGTAAGTGAGGGTAGGGTGTGAAAACATTGCGGTGGCCATTTTGGGGACTCGGTGGCCATTTTGGAACCACCGATCAGCTGTTGTAAAAACATTGCAATGCGAAGATTGGTAAGCGAAACGCTTACTGATCATCACAATGCGAGTTTTTGCCTATCTAAACATCACAATGCGATTGCTTTTGCAATCGCAAAAGCGACATCGCTATGCGGATTCGTCGTTAAATGGTGCGCTACTGTACTGTGTTCGGTGACACATACTCAAGAAAACTGCCATTCTCAGAGATTTTCCAAGTCTCGCCATCCTGTAACTCCCCTGACAAGAAATCCTAGCTCTTTGTTTTTCTTTTCACTTTTCACCCGTCGTTGTCCACAGGAACCTGCCAAGCCTTGGTCAACTTGATGCCTTTCCTGTGAATCCTGTGCAGGAAAGCTGCCATCCTTCATAGGAATTGTAACAATCCTGTGCAGCCTGCTATTTCTTTCCCCCTTTCTGAAGGAATCCCGTGCAGGAATGGTACCAGTCTGTCCAGGAAGCGCAACAATCCTGCACAGCTTGGCATTCTTTCTAAAAGAAGGACTATGCCAAAGTTTATTGGTTGAGGGGAGGGGGGAATAATCTGTTCCCTGTCCAGCTCCCTGATTTTACAGCTTTCGGGACTGCCTCTTGGCCTTGGCCTGCTGGACAAGGGTCTCTTCAAATTGGGAGAGGCCATCGTGCACCACCTGCCTCCAGGCTGAACGCTCAGAGGACAAGGTTTCCCATCTGTTAAGGTCCAATCCTAAGGCCTTCAGATCCTGCTTGCAGATCTCCTTGGATCACAGCTGTGGTCTCCTTCTGGGGCAATTTCCCTGCACTAATTCTCCATACAGGAGATCTTTTGGAATCCGACCATCAGCCATTTGCAGGAATGGTACCAGTCTGTCCAGGAAGTGTAACAATCCTGCACAGCTTGGCATTCTTTCCAGCAACGCCGGCGCACGAAATTCTCAAATTCTCTAATTCAGAGGTCTCAAACTTAATTTACCTGGGGGCCGCTGGGGGCAGAGTCTGGGTGAGGCTGGGCCGCATCAGATTTTCCGCCAAGCGGAGCCCGAGCCCGAGGAAGCCGTATTGGCTCTTGCCTTTCCATTGGACCATTTCAGCGATGTGGAGAGGGAGGATCTGCTGCTTGGGTAACAGCCTATCCTCCATATTACTTTACCCAGGCTTCATGCTCTGGAGAGGAC